TTATACATCTGGACACTTCCTAATTAAAAAAAAAGTATTTGGTTGTCAATCGATGCATATAAAAATTGCTTCTAAAAACGTGAAACTGTAAGCATCCTGTATTTTAAACAGGAAAAAATCAGATCTCCGCCGTTTTTGTCTAGGGCGAGACTAAAATCCGTCCCAAGTTGAAACAGTGTCACCTCGGATCGCGCGATATCAGGTTCGCCGTGACGTGTCTCTGACCCTTTTTCTCGCCGTCCAGAAATTCTGCGATTCCACTCGCCTTTCTCCGCGTGCGTACGTAATTTCTCCCGATCGATCGCGTGTCCCCAAAATCGACGGCCGCCTTTCGACGCGCATAGAAATAATAACCAACGCCCGGACGTTTCTTTCGCGACCGAAAACGCTCTTCTGCTCGTACGCGTCCGTTTCTCGTGACTCGACGACGATGACTGAACGTCGTCGGTTGCACAGCTTTCTTAAGCCGAAGCACCGCTTCGATTCGTTACGAAAATCGATGATTTAACAATTGGGCCGCGGATTTTTCTGGCAAATTACTCGTTCAGAATTTAATTCAGCATGCGTTGTTAAAATCTGCTGTACGGATTGACCATAGTAATTTATGGAATTGCGGTTGTCTTAGTATTTTTTATTTAACCTTATTCAGTCTAAATCTTTGGATTCCTTGATTTTATAACTGATCGTTTATTTCTCATACGAATTGATTAAATAAATAAATAAGAAAAATAGTGAAATTAATAAATAAATTTCCTGCTGCTGTTGCAAGAAACGGTAAAAGCCATTTAGGAATTCTTTTTATTTGTAATACTTTTAGCCAGTTGAATATTTATTTATTTCATTTATTTATTCATTTCATATATACTATATTTATTCATTTTATTGAATACAATGTTTCTACTGACTTAAATTGTAGTTGTACAGTTTTCTCATAAATACATAAAATCCGCAGTCTGTTAGGTTAGGTCTCTGTTAGGTCAGGATTAGGTACGCACGCTGCAACAGGATAAATAAACGGCAAACAGAAGCTTCAGTTTAGTGCTCACGCATATTCTATTGTGCGTACAGTTTCGTTGCTCTCTAATCTATCAAGGTCTGGCAACGTTGTTGCATATGTCCTGCTCGTTAT